CACCAGCAGTGCAATAGGGTTCCTCTTTCTCCGCATCCTCATCAACATCTGTTGTTGCCTGAGTTGTTAATGTTAGCCATTCTGACAGGTGTGAGGTAGTATCTCATTGTGGTTTTAATTTGAATTTCCCTGATGATGAGTGATTTTGAACATTTTTTCATGTGTCTGTTAGCCATCTGGATGTCTTCTTTGGAAAAGTGTCTATTCATATCTTTTGCCCATTTCTTCACTGGATTATTTATTTTTTGGGTGTTGAGTTTGATAAGTTCTTTATAGATTTTGGATAGTAACCCTTCATCTGATAGGTCATTTGCAAATATCTTCTCCCATTCTGTCGGTTGCCTTGTAGTTTTGCTGATTGTTTCCTTTGCCATGCCAAAGCTCCCATGCTATGATTAATTGCTGTAATGTGTTTCTATATTTTTGTACCTGATAGGGCAAGTCCTCTTCATTATTATTTTCCAAAAAAATTTTTAATGTTTATTTATTTAGAGAGAGATAGAGAATGAACAGGGGAGGGGCAGAGAGAGAGAGAGGGAAACACAGACTTTGAAGCAGGCTTCAAGCTCTAAGCTGTCAGCACAGAGCCTGACACAGGGCTCAGACTCACGAACTGCGAGATCATGACCTGAGCCGAAGTTGAACGCTCAACTGTCTAAGTCACCCAGGTACCCCTATTATTTTCCAAAACCTTATGCATTTATTTTTCATGTGAATTTTTAAAAAATGACTTTAAAAATTAGAAAAGTAACAAATGTTTATAGTAAATAGGATATCAACTAAAATATACCAAACAGAAAGTGAAAGTACCTCCCTTAAATCCCATTTTCAAGAGGTAACTACTCTCAATATTTGCTGTGACAAATGAACTTGAAAATAGGCTATGTTTTTAATGTTAAATTACTGAGTAGGATGTTTTCTCTTGGCTTCTGGCACTATTTATAAAGTTGTAAGATTCCTTCTTAAATGAAGGAGTGGTAGAATATCATCATTTTGTAAACTCTAATGAAATAATCTAGGCAACTATAGGTGAAAAGTTGATGGGGGAGCTTTATAATGAATAGATCAGACTGAATCCATTAATCAGTCTTAACACTGCAGAAAGAGAGACAATGTATTTCTGGATAAAAATAGATACAGATGAAATACTCTTACAAAAAACCCCAGAATTTGATCAAGTATAGATATAAATTCAAGAGACAGGAAAATGTTAAATGACCATGAGATATTATCAGCAAAATCTAGAATATGGGAAATTTTAGAGGATAAACAACCTAATTTCTTCAACAAAAAAACTGCAAGGAAAAAAAAGAGGAAGGGGAACTTATAGATAAAAAAAAAGACTTGAAAGTCCCTATACATGTGTTGATCTATATACCTTAATAAGTTGAAGAGGATATCTTTTTTCTTTTTAATTTTTTTTTTAACGTTTATTTATTTTTGAGACAGAGAGAGACAGAGCATGAATGGGGGAGGGTCAGAGAGAGAGGGAGACACAGAATCGGAAACAGGCTCCAGGCTCTGAGCTGTCAGCACAGAGCCTGACGCGGGGCTCGAACTCACGGATCACGGACCGTGAGATCGTGACCTGAGCTGAAGCCGGTGCTCAACCGACTGAGCCACCCAGGCGCCCCTCTTTTTTTCTTTTAATGCTTTTTATTAATTTTTGATAGAGACAGAGTGTCAGCTGGGGAGGGGCAGAGAGAGAGGGAGACACAGAATCTGAAGCAGGCTTCAGGCTCCAAGCTGTCAGCACAGACCCCGATCATGAACCCGTGAGATCATGACCTGAGCTGAAGTTGGACGCTTAACAACTGAGCCACCCAGGCACCCCATTTGTTGAAGAAGATATCTTTAAAAAAATTTTTTTTTTTAGTATTTATTTTTGAGACAGAGTGCAGGTGGGGGAGGGGCAGAGAGAGAGAGAGAGAGAGAGGGAGAGAGAGAAGGAGACACAGAATCCGAAACAGGCTCCAGGCTCTGAGCTGTCAGCACAGAGCCTGAGGCAGGGCTTAAACTCACCGACCATGAGATCATGACCTGAGCCAAAGTAAGCCGCTTAACCGACTGAACCACCCAGGCACCCCTGTTGAAGAGAACAGCTAAAAAGAAATGAGATCTTTTGTATTCCTAATGTCCATGATCCTCTTACATATTCTATTTCTAAATTCAAGGGAAATATACTGAAAAGAACATCAATGTCATTATTATAATCATTCTTTAATTAATTATGAATTCCTGCACACTTAGAAAAATGTGCATAAGTACAAAAATCATAAGTACAATTCAATCCACATAGTGAATAGTTCTAGCTGAATGTTTAACTATGAATTTTAATTAGTTTGATATAAAAATAAAGTACCTTATTTCCTGTTCTGTTTAACAGCCAAATCAGATGTACTGAACAGATGTTAAAAAGTAACAGTATTTTTTTTTCACTCCAGGCCTTTCCCCTGGTTTGATCTGACTGCTGTGCAACTCAAGGAAACTCCCTTTAGTCAGCAGCTCTCAACCAGTACTGCTCTCCAGGACCACCTTACCCTTCTATACTGTGATTCATTTGGCATCTCCCTAACCAAAAAACAGCAGCCAGTGGTCTCCAGAGGCTCTCCCTCCCAATAAGAGAAGAGACCTCAGGAATCAGGATTTTTTTCCCTTCCACAATGGTTGTACCCTGATTATCACAATTCACATTAGGAATCATGTGATTACATTGTGTTTGCCACATGTTGGGCATTAAGGAATTAGAAAATTATACTGATGTTCTTTAAAATATAGAATAAAACAATAAGTCTTTTACATCAGTATATTTGGGTATGTCTGGCTTTTGGAAGCAACCAAAAGAAACTATATAACCTGACACACTTAAGTAAGCCGCTTCCCTAGGAAAGCCGGGTTAATATAAATTATTTTACTTCTAAAAGCTAAATTATTAGCTGTTTAGACAGTATATATTGCAGCTTGTTCTCCTGTAGCAGTGAGTAGCTGACAAACGATACAGCTTGCTTTTCCTACCATTTTGGATAAAGAAGTAAAATGTGTGGTAAACAATCTTAATTGAATTATGACTCATTTCATGCTTATTTCAGCTATATATGACTGTTCTGGAATTATCTTATTTAAAGCTGTTCCCATTTAAACCATTTTATTTTTTATTTGTATTTACTTTTTTAATGTTTTATTTATCCTTGAGAGAGAGAGAGAGAGAGAGAGAGAGAGAGGAGCATGAGCAAGGGAGGGGCACTGTGAGAGAGGGACACAGAATCCAAAGCAGACCCCAGGCTCTGAGCTGTCAGCACAGAGCCCGACGTGGGGCTCGAACTCACGAGCCGTGAGATCGTGACCTGAGCTGAAGACAGATACTTAACCGACTGAGCCACCCAGGCGCCCCCATTTAAACCATTTTAAACCACAAAACCATTTTTATAAATGGCTGGCATTTATATTACATGGCTAAAAATAATTTTGCAAAATATAGATCTTATTCCTACACTGCAAAGTTACTGCCTTTACATTTTGCAAATACTTTATGTCAGTTATAATAGAGTAGAAAACAATAGCAGTGACCATCAGGTTGAGAAAGGAGGACACTGACTATGCTCTGTCATTGAACAGGACAATTGTTTGCTAAACGCTAAAGTGCTTTTGAACAAAACCATTCACTATACTTGTAAACCACCATTGTGTTAGATTAATCATTTACATTTTCTCTTTTGCATAATTGTGAGCCAGGCAAACTCAATGGTATGGTGTAGAATGGTTTGAGATAAAATTTCATTGATCCAATGTGGGAAAAAAGTAGGTGCATCATCAAATATTAACAGTTGGTACGAATGCTAACTTGAGGTACTGTTCCTTTTCTCAGTACAAAAAAAAAAAAGAAATTGATTCCTTTGACTATTCATTCAGGTGTAGGGAACTGGACAGGGTACATCATTGCCTTTCTGGATTATGGTAGCTCTTTAGTGGCTTTTAGGACTAAGAAGTGAGTCTGGGAAGAGAAAGAACAGTTAAGCCTGTAAACTAGAGAGGAACTGGAGTCATTCAAGCAACACGAACTATTTTATCTTTTTTTTTGAGCAGTCAGTTATGGGTAGACTCTGAATTCATTCATTCATTCATTCTTTCATTCAATTTCTTTCTTTCTCTGTTTCTTTCTTTCTTCTTCTTTCTTCTTTCCTTCCTTTTTTTCTCTTTCCTTTTTCTTTCTCTTTTTCTTTCTCTCCTTTCTCTCTTTCTTTCTTTCTTTCCTTTCCTTTACTTTCCTTCCCTTTCCTTTCCTTCCTTTCTGTAAACCTTACCCCCAATGTGGGGCTCAAACTCATAACCCTGAGATCAAGAGTTGCATTCTCTACTGACTGAGCCAGCCAGGCACACCCTGAATTTTATTTTATAAAGGTCTGGAAAGTACCACATAAAAGAGCCTGGTAAACAAACTCCAGTCCGTATTCCATAGTCCAGTGGTACTCCTATAAGCCATGTTGTTTGTAAGGATAAATATAAATTTTAAAAAATATTAAAATTTTTTTCTCTGATGCAAAAAATGAAAGAACTCCCCTCCTCCCTTTCCTTACAACATTTCCTTTACAAAACATGTAATTTAAATCATTTTTCTGTTTTTGACATGTACATAAATCCTCTAAAAAGTTGAGTAAGTCACCTACCAGTTTTACATCCCAAGACTGTCTGTTTGGGGGGCTTTGGGGCCATCTCTTTGAAATGTGAGCATTAAGGAGGATGGCACCTTATCTCTTGGGCCTAAGTGCCTGGCTCCAATAGTAACTTCATGTTTGTCATAAAGATATGAGAAGTTTTCTTTTTCTTTTGGATACAGACAATTAACATGTAAGTAATGGATTCTGTCTGGCTGGCTATATAAAAGGGTGAGATCTCAACTTTGCAGTCTTCTTTAGCAGCTTGCTTGTGATATACATCACTGACTGATTTAATGCTGATTCAATAATACAACTGTTTCTTTTTCTGCATTTGTCGAGAAGATTAGGTTGGCAGGAGATTTTACTTTTAATTCCATTTCCCTAACATGTTCCTATACCAGATACATTACTGAAATTTATCAGGAATCCTTATAATTACCCAGAAAGAGAAATATTGATATCTTTGTTTAAACACGGAGCTAAATTGAAACCCAAATAAAAGGAAGGTGCTGCGAGGTGCTGACAGAACTAGGGGTGGAGCCAGGAGTTCTAACTCTGATCCTTAATGAAGAAGATAAAAAGAGAACCCAAAAGACCATACTTCTTCCCCCAAGTAGTTTAGTTTGATCTTTCAGGTAAGTGAAATGGCTCTTCCCTACGGTTCAGTGTAATACAATGCTTCATTCTTTTCAGGGGCAGTTACTTTTGGAGCATAGTCCTGTAATCCTGCTGCTTGCACAAATTCAGATAAGGTCAAGGAATCAGATTTTACCCCAGTATGACCTTTTTGCTCTAAAAATAAGCCTATATTGTCCCTGTAGGGAAGGGTGATGGTGCGTCTGAATAATGGCTCTTCAATTCCCAGTAGCTCCCGTGTATGCCGAGAAATTACCTAAAATACAAGAACAATTTTTTAATGGGGTTAACTGAAAATATAAATTAAAGAAGTTTTATTTATTTTCCTAGGCCTTTTGAATGGTAACCTTTTAAGTTATTTCTAAGGGAAAATAAAATAATGAAATAACACATGGAAATGCTTACTAGCCTGGCCTCAAAATAAAGTCCTTATAAGAAACATCAAATGATTTATTACCTTTTTATAAGTTCCATTTAAAGGTGTTTCTAGGCTCTTGGCAATGGCTTGCCATGGATGGGTTCATTTCTTTCTTTTGGCTGAGCAATCTGATCAGCCATATGAGCAGATAATATGTTCAGATTAAGAGCCATGACTGTCTCTGGGAAGGTTAATAAATAACTTGTCTATAAGGGGCTCAGTTAATTTGCAATTAAGAAAAAAATAATAACTCAAATAGTTACTTAATTTGTTTGACTAAAAACAAATCTCAAACACTAAAAAGCAGACATTAAAGTTCCAGCTGTTTTATTAGAATTAGAGATCCAAATTACTACAGGTGGCTCTTAAGAATTCTCATTTGTAATTGATGCTGCTACACCGAGCACCTTGTTAGGTCAGCACCTCACCCTGAGTGCCCCTGACCAGAGCAGGTTCATTCACAAACTCACTGAGGTTAACAGATGGTGCCCCCAGGAGGGACCCTGTAATCATAGACAGATTTATTCACTATTAACCAAAAGAACTATGTGCCTACTGCAGGCTGAGAGAGCCCAATACTGTTTAATATTCTAATGCAGAAATTAAAAGTGTTACAAAGCTACTGGTTAGATGTGGAATCAGGAAATAAAATCTAACCATCTCTCATCTAATTCTATGTCTGAAGTTCATCAATGGACCATGAGGGACCTTTGATGGGCTATAAATTAATATAAAACTGTGAGTTCTTTCATTAGTTCTGATAAATGATAAGCAGCAGATCTTATTTTTGCCAAAGACTTAGAGCAATTTATTAGTAACTTACTTAAGTTAGTAAGGATTACAGGAATACAGATATTTATGAAGATTATAAGAGTTTCCTAAGGATTCTTAATTCTGCGTTCTAGGATGGAGCCTCATGCTCAATACAAATGGTCTCATGCAGAATCTGTAATAGTTCTAGTTTTCAAGAGGATTCTATTATTACTATATCATCATTGTATTCTGTGTTGATTATGGTTTTTAAAGGCTGCTATTCTTTTATTTGTAAGCTACGGATAGTTTTGCTTCATCATTAACAATATAATACATACTGTTTGTGGTTACCTTATGTATGTAACTATGCACGTTTACATAATTGGAACCTATAATTAAACCTAAAGATGTCGGGGTGCCTGGGTGGCTCAGTCATTTAAGTGTCAGACTTCGGCTCAGGTCATGATCTGGTGATCCGTGAGTTCGAGCCCCGCATCTGGCTCTGTGCTGACAGCTTAGAGCCTGGAGCCTGCTTCCGATTCTGTGTCTCCCTCTCTCTCTGCCCCTCCCCAGCTTGCGCTCTCTCACTTTCAAAAATAAATAAACATTACAAAAATTTTTAAAAAACCCTAAAGATGTCATCATTATGGTTCAAATATGAATTATCTATACCACCATTATTAAAACAGATTGTATAGTCTCCTTAAAATCTGCTTGTTGATTCATATAATAATGTTGATTAAACTTTTTTTTAAGGTTATTTATTTATTTTGAGAGAGAGGGTGGGGGGGGGTGGTGCAGGGGAGGTAAGGATCAGAGTGGGAGAGAGAATCCCAAGCAGGCTTCATGCTGTCAGCACAGAGCCTGATGGGGGGCTTGAACCCACAAACCATGAGATCATGACCTGAGCCAAAATCAAGAGTCAGACACTTAACTGACTGAGGCTTCCATGTGCCCCAACAATGTGGATTAATCTTAAATGCATTTTGCTAAGGGAAAGAAGCCAGACTCAAAGGCTATATATTATTTGATTCCATTTATATGACATTCTGGAAAAGGCAAAACTATAGGGACTAAAAACAGATTAGTGGTTGCCAGGGATTGGGGTGAGGGGATAGGCTGACTTCCAAAGGGACACAAGGGGGACAGAATTGTTCTTTATGGTTCTGTGTGGTGGATACATGATGCTGTGCATTTGTCAAAACCCACAGAACTACAGACTGCAAGGAGTGACTTTACTATATGCAAATTTAAAAAACAATTTTTTTTTTAACGTTTATTTTATTTTTGGGACAGAGAGACAGCATGAACGGGGGAGGGGCAGAGAGAGAGGACACAGAATCGGAAGCAGGCTCCAGGCTCTGAGCCATCAGCCCAGAGCCCGACGCGGGGCTCGGACTCACGGACCGTGAGATAGTGACCTGAGCCAAAGTCGGACGCTCAACCGACTGAGCCACCCAGGCGCCCCAATTTTTAAAAAGCCAGGACGTCTCAGGAACCCATATAGAATATAGGCTGTGGACAAATGAATATAATTATATTACAAAGTAAGACATAGTCTCACTGAAGGAGGTAGGGAAGAAAGTTATTTAGCTGACCTAAATAACTTTGAAAAACAGTGCTTTGTCTAGGTGGTGTAAGGCTAAAGACAAGAACAACTGTAGACAAACACTGTACTCTGTTGGTAATTTGTTTCTCATATACATATTTATAGATAAAGAGAATCAGGTTTCTCCTATCAGAGAAAGAAGTTATAAAGAAGCAAAGTAGGGTAGGGAATCGGAAGGATGGGAAGGCTAGAATGAACCCAGTGGTGCTGGACTAGAGTCAGAGATAACAGGATGAACTCATGCTTACAGAAATAAATAGAAATTTGTATCTACATGAGATTTGCATATCTACGTATGTTTCCTACATCTTTCTGCTCAGAGTGCCTAGAAGTAATGATACTCCCATAGCAACAAGCACAACTGGTGCTACATCGTGGTTTCTAAATTCCATTCCCTGATAAAAGCAACCAGGGCTCCTGGGAGACATGGCTGCTTCCAGAGCTGCAGCAAGGAAAGTAAAAAATGAGTCTGAAGTGATGTGTAGTGCCAGAAAGTACTAGAAAAAAATAAGGGGAGCATTGTCCAAAGGACACATGGGCCAAACTGAAAGAACTCCCAAATGGGAGAGAAGGGACAATTAAACATAGAATCGCTTACAAAGCATTCCAGTTAAACATGGAAGGAATGAGGGAAATAGAAAACCATCATCAGAACAACACAGTACTAACTGTTGCAGGCAAGAGTTTAGCATCCATCATGGATGCTAAAATTAGTGGGCCAGACTTTAAGGAGAAACCAATTTGCATAGCCTCAAAGTATCTTCTCCAGCATATTTATTACTGTGGTCGTTTTACTATATGTCCAGAAGCTCTGGTACTCCTCCCTCCAGGAGGTGGATCTTAATTTCTGTGTCTCTGAGTGTAGGCCAGACCTACTCACTCACTCCTAGTGAATAGAATATGAAAAGGGAAACACAATAACTTTATAATGAAGAAACCTGGCAGATGCCACCTTAATCAGGTGATAAGGTTCACATTTCCAGTAATATAGCCCATTGATATCATGTACTCCCTGATGAGATGAAAAGGGCTCATCACCTCTGTGATCTCTTGTTTCATGGGAAACATTAGACAAACCATAATTGAGGGAAGTCTTCAAAATACCTGGCCACTATTTTTCAAAGTGTCAAGGTCGTGAAGACAAAGATCAAGAAACTGTCACATAGGAGTGCCTGGGTGGCTCAGTCAATTAAGCATCCAACTTTGGCTCAGGTCATGATCTCATGATTCATGGGTTCGAGCCCTGCATCAGGCTCCACACTGGCATGGGATTCTCTCTCTCTCCCTCTCTCTCTGCCCCTGACCGACTTGCGCTTCTCTCGCTCTCAAAATAATTAAATAAAAAACTTTATGAACAACAACAAAAAAGAAACTGTCACATATTGGAGGAGACCAAAGAAACAATAACAACTAAAGGCAAAGTGGTATCCCCAGTTGGATACTGGAATAAAAGAAGGACATCAGTGGAGAAATATAAGAAATCTGAATAAAGTCTATAATTTACTTAGGAATACTGTACCAGTGGTAATTTCTTTGTTTTGATAAATGCCCCCATGGTTACATAAGATGTTAACATTAGGGAATGCTGCGTTAAGAGTACATAGGTACTAGGGGCGCCTGGGTGGCGCAGTCGGTTGAGCGTCCGACTTCAGCCAGGTCACGATCTCGCGGTCCGTGAGTTCGAGCCCCGCATCAGGCTCTGGGCTGATGGCTCAGAGCCTGGAGCTTGTTTCCGATTCTGTGTCTCCCTCTCTCTCTGCCCCTCCCCCGTTCATGCTCTGTCTCTCTCTGTCCCAAAAATAAAGAAACGTTGAAAAAAAAAATTAAAAAAAAAAAGAGTACATAGGAACTTTGTACCATCTTCGCAACTCTTCTATAAAACTAAAATTATCTGAAAATTGAAAGTTAAAGAAAAATATTTTGTCTTGTGAGAATTTGCTCACATATTATTAATCTGTGCTTTTCAAATAGTTTGAAACAAGGCAAGTGTAGTAAAATTGCTGGGATATAAAGCTTATGAGTTTATATTCTATAATATAAAATCATGCATACAAAAGGAATAAGCAATTCACCTATGTTCTTCCCCAAATATTTCCCAAGAGTTCTTTTGTTCACTTGATGGAGTGAACAGTTAAAAATATTTTGAGAATTGGGGCACCTGGGCAGCTCAGTCATTTGAGTGTCTAACTCTTGATTTAGGCTCAGGTCATGATCTTGCAGTTGTGAGATTGAGTCCTGCATCAAGCTCTGAGCTGGGTGTGGAGCTTGCTTGAGATTCTCTCTCTCCCTTTCCCAGTGTCCCTTTCCCCTGTGTGTGCATGCGTGCTCTCAAAAATTTTTTTGCTTTGAGATTCTCTAAGAGACAAAGCTGAAGCAGGTGTAATGCTATCTTGTTTAGCTTGTCCCTAGAATAAATACGATTGACTTCCTTTCCCCTTTTTACCAAGCTAATGCATCACTACAAATGGGAATGATAGGATAGTGGTTTTAAGAGATCCTTTGGCCAGGTTCAAAGAAGAATTAGTGCTTCGTCCCTTCTGTACTCCCCATCAGTCTCACCCACCCCACTAGCTCTTTTGTCATCTTCTCAGTACGTTGGAGAAACAGCAAAGAGAATGGTGAGTTCTTTCTACAGGTGAGGCATGAATAATTGCATAATTAAGGAAGTTGAAGAGAATAGAAACTGGCCATATGTTAACTGCAAGGCTTGTAAATGGGATGCACCATTCAAATGGGGTTCAGTTTCTTATCAGCATGCCTAGAATTTTGCACTCTCAAGCCACCAGCTCTTTTCCCAGTCCTGCTATTCTGCCCAAGTCCATGAATGATGATACAGGAGAGGTATCATGGAAAAGAGCATTACACTATGTAAGTTTTGTTGTGGGATGAATTTTGGATGTACTAGGTGCTGTAATTACAATGGTAGAACTAAAAGTGCTTATTTATCAGTAAAAAAGGTATCTATAGCATGCTTAAGTGTGGGGGAATGTGATAAAAAAAGATGTGACTGCTGATTGACCTATGAGCTGGACCTGGGCACCCAGAGGCTCCTTACCCCCTTCCCTGTCCTTGGAATGTGGGCTCCACTTGCCTTTCCCGCTTCCTGAGGCTGCTCTAAGGACATGGCCTTGGAAAGGTGATGTGGTGTTGAAAACACTTGCACAGTATACATGACTGACCCCTGTTAGGGCTTCTTTATAAACTTTTGAGATTTAGAGGACAGGCATGGAAATCATTCATCTTGTTGCCACCCAGGAAAAACCTCATATGTAAATTCTCTTTGTTATTATTAAAACTGCCACCTACCAACCTGGAGTGGCCTACATGTTTCTTCAGTCTCTCCCTGCCCTCTGAGTACAGGGGCCAATTTCAGACGACACAAGAGAGCTCCCAAAAGGGTTGAGAACCAACATTAAGTTCATGTGTGATCTCTAAAAAGTTACCTGTGTCATAGTGTATAATTAGCTTTTTTAAGTGGACCTATGTGTCAAGCAAAGCTTATCTAAGATACCTTTAAATGTCTTAATTTTTATTACTCTAGTGACCTCAAGGAGGGGGTCACACTTTGGTGACTTTGATAAATATTCTGAAGTTTGCTTATTCAAAGTTCTTGAGGTATAAGGATAGACCACTGGATTCATCATTTGAGGATTTCAATTTTTTTAAAAAATGTTTTACTTATTTATTTTGAGAGAGAACAAGCATGAGCAGAGGAGGGGCAGAGAGAAAGGGGGAGAGAGAGAATCCCAAGCTGTCAGTGCAGAGCCCAACAAGGAGCTTGATCTGACGAACCATGATATCATAACCTGAGCTGAAATCAAGAGTCAGACCCTTAACTGACTGAGCCACCCAGGCACCCCAATTTTTCTTTAACTGAGCTTTATACCCAATATGGGTCTTGAACTCACAACTGAGAGATAAAGAATTGCATGCTCTACTGACTGGGCCAGCCAGGTGTCCCTACTCCTGCAAGACCAGAAAAGGATAATTAGAATTTTTCTTATTGCATTGTTGATACTGTATTTTTGGAATCAAAATGTCAAAGAAGTAAAATGAACTGGCAGACTCTGAAAAATGTTTTCTCATAAGAAGCTGAAATTCTTGGTATTTAAACATTTCAGGAATTTGAATTACAAGTTACTAATTTGCTAATTCTGTTCCTTATTTTTATTTAGAAAATCCAGTACACTATTAATGTAAGTTGAAATTAGAGCTCATACACATAGTTGTATCATCTTTGAACATAAAAAGAGTAAGATATTTATCTGGTGGTACTTGGTAGCTATGTGAGGGTATGACTGGAAATACCAACTTGTAATAAGTGGTCTTTTTCTACAATACAGTGCTCTATAGGGAAACATTAAACACAACTCACCTTCATGTCCTCAAAATCTGTTATCCCCATCTGAGGGAGGTTTGAGCAGTTTACATGAATGAGTTTTCGGCCACTGATGAAGTTTGTGGTAAAACACTCCTGTTAGTATAACAAGAACATCACTCAAATGATTTATGGCAAATAGCAGGAAGTTGGGAAGGAGAAGAAAGAATTGGGGGAAGAGAAGGAAGGGAGAGACAAATCATGTTTGTTTCTGGTTCAATACAGAGAAAAAATTTTAATTAAATTTTAAAGCAAATTGAAATTTAATAATAATCCTAATAATCCCACATTTTTTTCCACCTGAGCTCTTGATTAAATTTCACATTGCTCATATATATATATATATAT